CATCCAATGCCATTGTGGATAAAACTTTGTATACATGGAATGTGTCCCCGACATTCTAATAGGGCGGGTTTTTTCAAAATTTCCAGAGCGAAGCCCCTGAGCCCCCGTTATTTAAACTAGTTCTCGCATTTGTGTCCAGCAAAGGTTCCTCCGTGTTTGTTTGTTGATTGAGAGTATGCAATAATCAGGGCACCCAGTCGAATCCTTGCACAAGTGCCTGTTGTGATATATTGCTAATAAATGTAGTTTATTATTTTGTATGTTGGTGAGTAATGACCAAAAATTTTAAATCCTTAAATGATGTCAAAGTGTGCATTTTTGCAATGATGAGAATTCTATAGAACATTGTCTGGAGCCAAGGACAAGTGTACCCTTTTCAAATCACAAAACACTTGTCTTTTTAGATACACCCACTTTAATTTGGCCACTGCTAAGATCCTTGTTACCAATATTTTGCCTGTGAGAACCATGCATTGTCCACAGACAATGGCCCTGTTCAAACCAACTTGCACATTTGGTGTAAACATTGCGTGTAGGTAATTTGGATGATAAAATACAAAATAATCAGATACATCTACCAACCATCAAAAAGGGGTTAGGAAATAGTCTGACTCAGCAATTTCTGACATATCCAGGGTAAGACTTACAGTCGGAATCATTCTCTTGAACAAGAAAATAAAATACAGTTGGAAATTCAAATCAGTCTAACTAAGAGAAAATTTGAATCATCTGGGGTATGAACAACAAAATATGCTCATTAAATGTGTCTAAAAATGTTGAACTTTTTTCTTGACACAAAATGGCTTTGCAAAAACTTGACATTTTTCTAAAATTATCTTCAAAAGATAAAATGATGCACATTAAGTACCCATCAAAGATGCAAACTGGGGTGATTGAATTATACGTAATAAAATAAAACTGGTGTGCCACCAAACGTCTAGAAAAATCTATCGTTAATCTTTGGCAAAATTATACTTTTGTAACTGTGTTAACTGTTACTTTTGTCACTAACAGTGTTAATGAAAAGTGACATCAGCTGTTAGCAAAAACTGGGAGTATTACAAACACAAATATTCTTTTAAAAGAGATGAGGCACAATACTTTGATAGAAAGATGGGGTACATTGGTAAAAAATCCCACCAAAATGAATTATTTTCTATTTTAAGACAGATCATATATTTTAATCTAACAATGAAGAGGTTGTGTTTGCTTATCAGAATAGATTAGAATGTAGAGACCACAAAGCTTGGGCAGATCATGAAAAAGGACTGTTATCAAAATTTAGATGTTTTTTGTCAAATTTGAGAATGAAAATAAATCTGTATTACAGTAATATTAAAGCTTGAGATTTTGACAGAAGAGCAGTTTAAAAAGATGATATCATAAAATATCATAAAAATATCAGCAAAAATATCATAAAATTGAAACAAAAGAAGCAATGAAGCTTGCTTTGTTATGGCAGATTATTATATTCATAGACAGATTAATGGCTGAAATTGAAATGTAACTCACTTGAATCACATAGATTACTTTTGCATCTGAAATATGTTAATAAAATGTTTAGAAATCAGTTTGTTTTGGATCCTAATATTTTCTTTTCCCCTGGAACTTGTCCAATGACAAGGAACTCAAAGTCATTCAAGATCTTGCCCAAATTTAGGAGGGTTGATGTTGTAAGGTTTTCTTTTTTTACTCATATCATTCTGGTATGGTCGGTATCAAACAGCCTTCCAAATAATACTGTGACACAGACAAATTCTGTTTCCTTTTACAGTCTTTGTCAAAACCACCCTAGTAAATTTTAACATTGTAGTTGACATTGTAGTTGAGAAGCTGACATTGCAGACACTTGTTTCAACCCAAACAGGTTGCTAAATGTATGTTTGATGATGATCAACATCAGAGTTAGAAAAAGTATCGGAACCTGGGATCGTAGTTCCTAGAAATTTTTCTAGATAAAAATGTTAGCAGAAGGTTTCACAGAAAATTTTTGTAAGTAAATATAAGAAAAGTAAATATAAAAATATTGTGACATAGGTTAAGTCAAGTAAGCAGACGATACACCAACTAAGTATAGAGATGTAGGCACAAACAGAAAGTTTATTTGTCTACCCCCTAAATCTTGCAGAAAGTTTTGAGCCAGATTCTTTGGTTCCCAGAAAGAAAAAATTTTTTTCCACCTCTGATCAACATCATGCCATTAAAAACTAGATGATGTCATACCCTAATGTATCTCTGTTTCCAGCCTTGCTTCTTTGCACCTTTGGTGTATATCTGAATTTTAAACTCCCCTTCAAGATGTGGTGGTGGCCTGCCCTGAAATGTTGAAAGATGGTTAAAAGCATTTATGAAATGATTGTTGATGTTGATAAGTTCCTATATCAATTCTTTGCAAGTTCTTTTATATCTTGTTTAACATGCAGAAAATACAGAGCCAGCAATAGACAATGTTGTGTGACTGTTGTGTCTTGATGAATTCACTGATTGACGGATCAGATCACAATACAGGGCAATGCACATTAAACGAGGGGATGCTACAAAAGTGTTGTTGATTATGTTACTGTGATGTAGAGACAATTGATGGTGTTAATGATTATGATGCAATCAATGAATTGAATACGTTCAACAATGGTTACTACACATTTCTCTTTACTAAAGCAATTTCTTGTGATATTTCTATGAAAGGGGGCATCTATGGAATGAAGCTTACAACGGCAATGTTACATCAACATTGATTGGGGTGCTAGATGATTTAGACAGGTTATCATTTTAATTATGTTAATAACTATCCTGAACAGAGTTAATTATGCATGGTGTAATTAAGTTCAATAATTTAGTAGATTTTGGTAATAATTAGGGAAAATCTTCATTAGCCAGACCCCTCTACTTCTCCAGTTGTTTAGTAAGGATTTGGCTTCAGGTTGCATTTGGGGGAAGGAAGTTCTGTAAAGAAGATTTGCATGTACACAAAATCCATTACATCATAGTATAAAATGTAAAATAAAGTAAAAAACAAGAAAAACATAATATACAATAAATACAAAAATGAAGCCAGAATTCATCTGGACATAAAGATAACAAAAATCTTAGATAAAATTATGGAAACATGCTTAGAAGTTTTCTAGTGACACAGGGTTTGTAGTACATTTTGTGAGTACATTTTATACTTTTGCAAAACATAAAATTATGTTTGCACCAAATAGTTTTTTGCATTAAATAGTTATTGAGTGTCAGTATTAAACATTGAATATACATAAACAATCATATGAGTGAATAAATAAATGAAGAAAAACAGAAAACATCCAAAAATTAAGTAATACTAGTACAACGTTTTTAAATTTACTATCACAATATTGTACTATCACAAAGTTTCTAAATATTTTTAAAGTTATGTCCGTATAACCTTTGAATAAGATATTTCAGTTGCATAAAAAGTTATCACTTCGGGGGAGTTAGATCAACATGTACTTCTACAGAATATCTTTTATATTCTAGTTGAAGACAATAATTTTATCTAAATAATGATTAATTTATAAACTTTATCAACACACAAAGGTGTCAACTTTAAAATTTCTTAATAGTAGCAACAAATAAAGAAAGAATTGAATTTTGAAATCCCATAAACTCCAAAATCCTATAAAACTTTGTCAATATGACTGGATGGTTGGCAATTTCACAAAGCATTTGAAAACAAAAGAATCAATGACAAGGGCTTAAAAGCGCGCTCTACTGGAAATTTTTTTAGCATGAAAGATCATATACAAGAGCCGAAATGTAAAAAGGAACGTAGTAATAATTAAGAAACTTATAAGAAACAAAGAGAATTGAGGTTTCCTAAAGGGTTAAGGGACTGGAGTACTCCATGTCGACCTTTGCTTCTTACAAAAATTGAGTGCAAAGGTTTGGGAGCAATAGCATTGGTTGGGAGTGGTATTATCGTAATATGGAAAACCAAAACATTGGGGATCGCCAGTTCTCGAAGTCTCGGAACTGATCGAAAAACAATATCAACACAGGGAAATTCTCCTGTTTATAGTCAGAACAGAAAAATTATCGCAGTCTCTTTTGATTATACTTGGAGCTTAGAAACCAAAAACTGATACTAAGATGATCCCAAACGGCCTACAAAAACATATCTGGTGTTCGGCGCGATGAAAGACTAGTTCTCGTGGCCGTATCAAGATCGTATATCTGGAACATCATCCTGATTTTGTAAAAACGCCTTACAATAAATCATCGTATTAAGCAATTTTATTTCTTTGTTGTGTTGTCAAGCTTTTCCTCGTCCAGGCAGGGGGAAATTTTGCTGCAAATGAACAGTTTACAGCGATGAAAGACTGAAATATGCGAATTTGCCCCAAAAGAGGAAACAAACAGACATAGAAACATGTCATGAAGGAAACGATAAGAAGATATTTTTCAGACTTACCAAGCTAAAATCCATTTTTCCGCGAAATTGATCCCATAAAGAATATATGACGTTTACCGATCAGCTTGTTGGGGAAATGAACTTCCGCTTTCTATTCTTAGATATTGTTATAGAAACGAGATTGCGAAATTGTTTAAAGAGAGGCTGGCTGGAGCGGTGTCAAGAACGCGATTTACCAAATAACCGATTGAAATGGAGGGTATTTGGAATTCTACCGTTTTGCGAATTCAAGAAGGAGAGACAACATGAGATAGCGCGAAGGCGCGTGACAATCACTGTTTAAAGAAAACTGACGAAGTTCAGAAAACCAACCTCGTCATATAATGCTAAATGTTAAAAGCTACATCAAGAAGGGCGGGAAATAGGGAGCGGCATGTTGTCTCCTTCTGGCTCCTTCTTGAATTCGCAGTTCGGTAGAATTCCAAATACCCTTCATTTCAATCGGTTATTTGGTAATTCTACCTCACTGCTACTTCTGCGAAGGAGCAGCCAACATGAGACTTCAAAGTCTGGCCGAGTCAGTTTGTTCTTTGAACTCATAAAAACAAAAGGCACATTGTATCAGAAAAGAACAAAACATCACTTAACTTAACATTATAAAATGTAACCAAACTCAGTAATATTTTTAAAAATACGTTTTTTAAAAAGTAATATTTTTAAAAAATAATTTTTAAAAGTCTGGATTATGTCCATAGTTTTCAAGAATTATACCGCTTAGCTCGATTTCTCCAGTCGGTACGTTGGTGCCTATGATGTCCTTTGAATAATATTTTGTAAAAGTAGATGATCTTTTCCAACAACCATGTTTTAAAATCTCGTTTAATGGGGCTCCTGTAGCTTTTGCTTTGCTAGCAGCTGCTGCCCTGCAACTGTGAGCTTTGTATACGTTTACATCAATTCCTGCGTTAGATAATTATTTTTTTATCCATCTACCAACAGTATCTGAAGATGCTTCTTTATGTGGCTTTCCGTGTGTTATAAGCAGTTTATGAGTGTTCTTATAAGCGAGTAGTTTCCTTCGCTTTAAATATTCTTCTGCACATAGTTTAGTATTTTCCATAAATCTTTTGTAAGATATGCATGCCAGTGGTTTGCTTGGTTTTGAATTTTTGGATGTTTTGTTGGGAAGCAGAAGGAGTTTATCTTCAGTGATTTTAACATTCTCAATTTTCATAGCAACTATGGCTTGCTTCCTTCTGCCCCCAAGAATCATTAACAGCATTACAAATTTCATTGTCAACTCTATAAGTGTGAGCTCCCTATTTTGTCTGCTTTTTGTGTAGTAGTCCAACACTGTGCTTATGTCCCATATGTTGGGATATTTGGCTGTAGGTGGGTGCAAATTATATATGCCCTTTACAAATCTCGAGATTAATGGGTGTTGTGCTAATATATCTTGTCCTTCAAGAGTGTACGCTGCAAACAAGGCTGATCTAGCCAACAGATGAGCTTAGGGTGTGCTCTCTCCTCGATTAGTCTACCTACTGAGAGAGCTCCTCCTTAAGAAATTCCTCTCCATACGAAATTCTATGTACTCTTATTGTAAAATTTGTCCTTTTTTGTCATCTGTTGTAATCTGTTATTCTAGTTAATTGTATGTATTTTAGAAAGATTTTTGTATGTAGTGGAATTTTAAAATTAAACTGAACTGAACTGAAAAAAAACAAATGTCACTATATCGACATCCTTGATCATAAAGATGCATTGAAAATTCAAGCATCAGGCTGAAGGTTAATACTTTCATTATTTGACGACAAAATAGTTTCCACCATTCGAGTGTCGAGTAATATTTTTGCATTGTTGTTGATCTCCATGACTTGAGGATGATGTTCTCATTTTTTGTTGGACTGTGCCGAGCTATGTATGCCAGAAGGTGGTCCAGTAGGGCCAAAAAGTGCCAAAATCGCTTTTTGGTCCATAACTTTTGAACCACAAACGTGAAAAATATGGGACATGGTGCAAATTGAAGGTCTCGGTACCGGTAACAACTGACAAGAAGATTCTGACGTCACTGTGATGTAGGTGCCACGCCCTACCACGCCCAACGATACTGAAAGGTGAAAAGCATAGAACTTAAGTTTTGACCAAGATACAGTAAATGCATCAATAGCTATGCAGCCTGGATCTGGTTTCCAGGAAATGTATTTTTGAGCTTGGTTATTTATCCAAGATGCAAACAGGTCAATTTCAGGTGAGAATGTTAAAGGTAATGTGTCCAGCTAAAGCAAGCAACTCTGCGGAGGATTTCAGAAACATGTGATTTTTCATGTCATCGCCCCAGCCATTACGGTCATTCTGTTTATCTGCTGGGAGGTTAGCTTTTCATGTGAGCAGTTTTGCATCGTAAGAATACTAACCAATCACAGGCCGTTATTTTGATGGGTGGCTTGACAAGTTGGGTATACGCAGTCCTTTTATATGGACACATTACCTTTAATATTTTACAAATTTGTTTGTAAACAGTTGGGCACAGTTTCCACTCTGTGTTATCATTTAACTGACGAGACATTCTGTCTGCGACTAGGTTAGTTTTCCCTGGAATATGGGCTGCAGAGATCCACATATTTCTGTCAAGGCAATGAGCCCATATCAATTTTGCAACATCATTGCATTTTCTAGACTTATACCACCCATATTATTAATATATGAAACAGCAGTCATATTATCACATAGGATTCTTATGTGTTTTATTTTGGTTATTGTCCTTGTATAGGATTTTATAGCTAGCAAGATATCCAGTATTTCTAGGTAATTAATGCTGTGTCCATCAGTGAAGTCCCATCTTCCCCCACTTGGGGTGTTGTGGTCTGTTGCCCCCCATCCCTCTAAACTTGCATCAGTTTCCAATTGGAGATCAGTTTCTGGCTGCTAAATGGGCAGGTGATGTTTTCCTACATTATTTATCCACCAATTTGACTCTACAATAACATCTTCTGGTATCAACACGAGTTTAGCATTAAAGTACCCCTTGGCTTTTTTAAGTTCAGAAATTTTGAATTTCTCTGTAGTTCTATAGTGTAGCTTACCATAGGGTGTAGCAGGAATGACTGAAATAATTGTGCCCAGAACTAATGCAAGATCTCTTAATGTGTTTTTGTTATCACTTATGTGATTTCTTAACTTGTCAATAACTGCACCTGCTTTTTGTGGAGAAATTGAAATAGTCATATTAAGGGCCGTCGCTAATCACTTCCACTTAGGGGGGTGCCAGTCACAAATTTGCAGATTAAATAGGGCGTGGCCTAAAGTATTTCAATATTTTGGTGTGGTATTTTGACGCAATTGATTTTTTTCATCAAAGAGTATGTTCTCGTTAGTCAATCATCGCTTCAATTTTAGAGTGACTGTGGGTACTTAATTTGCATGAGTAGATATTACTAATAGGATCGCCAAGAGGTTTCGAAGGCATGAAGGAAACCCGAAAGACTGCGAGCGAAGCGAGCAGAAATTTTTTGCGACCACGCCTTTTAGATTGTCTTAAAATGCATTTCAGAATATTTTTTTTAGTCATTTCTTGCAATCGTTTAAAACTTCTAACTATTTCCTCTTCTATGTTTCATTGATTTCATTCTTAAAATGAAGTTCATTACTACTTGAGGCCCCCTCGACCTCAAGGCCCTGAGGCACTTTGCCCCCTTGCTCCCCTCGGCAGCCCTGCTTACAGTGGCTTCCAGTACTTCCAGGACCAGCGTTTAGAGTTTTTCAATAAACTTTGACCCTTCCCTAAACCCCAAACTTTAGGTAGAAAATTAGGTCGCCCTGGATATTGGACATTATATTCTAGACTCCGGCTGCCGACAAAGAGTCATTTGAAATTTTTGGTGGACATTTACCCCTCCGTGACACCCATAACGTCATCTGTACCTATTTTGAATTGCTGAGGGTTGCCGCACCTAGGTCCTTATCATATTTCTGGAATTCAATATGAATCTCAGAAACTCGATAACCTGTGTTGGTATCAGGATGGATTTATGGGTATGGGGGTGAATAGTGAAGCCAAGGCTTCTATGGAGATTCACAGTCTCCTCAATATTTGCACAGCATTGCTCATAGCTGTCACTTTACAAGTAAGTATCATCAACATAGACTATGGATGAGTGCCCCCTGCTTCTTAAGTAGCTAAATGGAGGATTGAGAATTTTTGTAAATATTCTCATTGCATATTTGTAGCCATTAGGCATACAGAGGAATGTGAAACATGCTTACCATACATAAATTTAAGGAATTTCTGGTGTGTAGGATATACAGGGATCGTGTAGAGAGCATTTTTAAGATCCACACTAGCCATATAGACATTGGCTTTTATAAGATTCAGAACACTTGTTAAAGTCTCCATTTTAAAGAGAAGATGTTCGACATGACTAATTAGCTCTTTGAGATTCAAGATCAATCTAATGGAGCCATCCTTTTTTGGTCTAGCGAATATTGGGGAGATAAAATCACCAGGGTCTTTTTCACATCTAGCAGTTACCATTTTTAATAGAAGTTTATGTATTTCATGCTTAATTTACCTCCATTTTTCCAGCAGCCAAGTGGCCATGCTGATCTCTTTCAGGGTTAGGATGGTCACAAAATTCAATTTTGAGCCCACTGTGAACAATATCAAGCAAAAATGTGTCCCCAGTGAGTTTTTCCCAAGCGTTTAGGCAACTGCTAATATGTCCTGCTTGAACTGTATCAACCTCATGTTGTAACCTGTTCGTATATTTATTATCTAGCAACAGCTGATCAGTAAAGAGACTAACATCATGTGTGTGTTTTATTGTTGGGCAGGTTTGCTCTGGTATCCTCGGTTATTGCCTCTGGCTGGCCTGCCCTGTCTGTATGCGCCTCTTTTTCAATAGACAGGGCTCCTTTGGGGAGGCAGGGCTCCTTGTTAGTTGTGGACATGGTTTGCAATCTCTTATTTAGATCATCTCCAATAGCATTTTTGAACCCGAAGGTACATTATGCACTAGTTGTTGGTACATGTTTGGGAACTCATCTTTCATCGACTCGCGTCGAGATTGGCTTGTCTCTTGTTGTAGGCTGCCTAGAAGAGCAAGAGGGTCAGTAGCCATTATGCTTATGTTGTCAATCTCAGACCCAGAGGCATTCTGGCCTTTGTAAGTCA